ATTTTTATTCACGAGAAAATATGAACGTGATTGTAATACGTATAATGATTATGTGCCATGGTTTTGTACAATCATAAATGTGATAGGTACTTGAAAAAATTTTAACCAAAACCTCGGTGTATTACTGCGTGCAATATTTGTGTGTACTCCGTAGCAAATCACTGGTAATTACTAATCCGGAAGAAAATAGAAAGTTCATTTCAACACTGATTATGGTAAAATCTGGTCAAGTTTTACGAGTCCGATACACACTTGTAAATAAAATAAAATATTATGGACCAATGTTTTTGTTAGACAAAGCAACATTTGTATAATAAGGTGCACGTTTTATCTTAGTCGTGGTGTACGTTTAATCCTCTCCAAAATGGCAGCTTCTTTATTTAATACACAGTGTACTGTAAAATAATTTTCCGGCAATTTTGATATACAAATATCGATCCAATAGTTGATTATTCATGAACATTTAAAGTTTTTATAAGGGGGATGGTAGAACGAAAAGGGGTTGACCTCTTAGGATTTTATTGTATAATGCTCCGCTCTTCAAACTTTAAATGCTTATAAATAATTAAATATTAGTTTAATAACTGATATTTGCAAGTAAAAAAAAGAAAAGTAATTTTGAAAATAATATGAAAATCAAAAATAATAAATGCTATTTTTTTTTTTTTTTTTTAACATACAGAAACGAAAAAATGACTGCTAAAATTAAAATGCATAATAAAATACTTGGAAACTATTTTCCGTTTGAAAAACGGAAATTATTTTTTTTTTTTTTTATAAATCTTTTAGTCGTGGTTTAGTCAACAGAATAAATAGGTAGGTACTTGATAGTTTTATTATTTTGATTCTGGTTCGTTCGATTATTTTAATAAATTATATAATATTTACGTTTACATTTATATTATATAATACGTTCTATATATCTATACGTACATGCATAATAAATAGTAATATATTATATAGATCTTCGACCGGAATATTTTTTCGAATGATTTATTATCGCTTTCAGATGCATTTATGTATAAAACATTAATCGGATTAACACAACAAAGGATCTATACTCAGAATCGGTGTACCGCCAGTTTTATTGCCGTTCGTTTTGAACCTTCGTGCACTTCCAGCACATCAAGCTTCGTAATTGTGGTAAAAAGCATTGACGAGGGTTTGTTACATTTTCATTATTATTTTTTGTTTCGTGAAACATTAGATCGATCACTAGGTAGTCATAGAGTTTTGAAAGTTGGGTAAATGATTTTTTCGAAGAGTCCGCAGAGTTTTCGGATCTAATCGCGTGATCGAAGTTTACTCAAAACAATAAAAGCCAATTATTATTGAGCGTGGCTAGCTGTATTCACGGTTACCTCGATTCGCAGTCGTGTTCGATTACGCGCGTGTGCACACATAATTTATCGTCTCTGGGTCATATTAATATAAATAAACGATTGCGCACTGTAATCACAGCATCGTTTGCGTCGCGAAACGGTTATTGCCGTTCAAGTCGACTCACCCGTGGCTTTCGGTTCACGTACAATTCGTGACGGCATAACTACGTGGACGTTAAACGCCTTAAACTGGAGCAGTCAGAATAAATTGGTCGTGGAACATTTCTGTGTTGGTGAACCGCGTCGTGCTTATACCATTTGGTGTACCATGTACCCAACGGGAACCTCTTTAGTTCCCTTGCGTAGAGTACCCCGATTCAACTAGAGAGCAAATATCGGAGTTGCTAAAATTGCTGAAAATATAATTAAACGGTAATTAACTGCAATAACTATAGATTATGTACATCTGAAAAAAAAAATCAGTAGTACTAAATTTGAACTCAAGGGTGTTAAAACTCCTATTTGCGCTCCGCCTAGTTACGCCGATTATTGTTGTACTCCGATCCATAATCCGTAAATCGAAAATTTGTATCGCGGCGAGTGCTGTTGAATATTCGAACTTCGGACACTTGCGAGTTTCCTCGAGCCACGAGGATTAGTTCAGCTAAAAAAAAAGTCTGCAACACATCTTTTAGGATGATATATCCCATAAGTCTACAAATTTAAAATTATCTCTTCGGCTCAATAACGTTTTCGATACACAAATACTTTTAACTGAATGGATAATAATATGTATCCAACGCGTTGAAACATCGAATAAATCAAATAGCTGCCGCATCATCAAACATCTAACGGCTTAAAAATGTTGATATCTTACAATGGTACAATTCGTGATATTATTACTATGGGAACTATAGTAATGTATCGTAGTAATAACATAAGATTACGTTTGTGTAATTCGTTTAATCATAATGCGTGTAATGTTGTGCTCGACATGTATCTTAAAAGATTAAGTATTATTATCTTATGGACTTTACACAATCTTTACAGATGCATGTAATAACAATCCTCTGCGTTACGCGGAAGGAACATCTGAAAAATAAACTATTATTTGATTACTTTTTCAATGAGAATCGAATAACTCGCAGCGCCGTTTATGTACGTGAGAAGAACAATCAAGTGTACGCGAATAGTGTTTTTAAATCGCATAAAATATAGCGAAATAACTAAAAACATTTATGAATCGATTCAACTATGACGTGTTCTAGAACAAACAACGTGTACATAAATATATACATTTATTTATATTTGCATAGTTCTTCCGAGAACGTATCGTGCTGACAAACGGATGACAACACCAACAGGTGGCACTGAAAACAATTATCCAAACTAAAATGAAAACTTTTTGTTATCGATCCTCGGCAAATGTAATTGAAATGTTTACAGTTTTGCGCTACCGTAAACCGATAAGTCACCGACGGAAACGATAAACGAATAAATCTGTATACTATTGTAATAAAAATTTGTATTGCACTCGCACTGAATTGGCATTTCAAAGATACGTTTATCGGCTAGCCCCTGTCCGAGAGCATGAAACACGAATTCGTTAAACACCCTTGCCGCGACACCGGCCGGATATTGCACAACGATTGTTACGATGACGAGTAAACAGAAATGGTTGAAAAAAAAAACGCATGCAACGCTCTAGTTTTGTCCTGTACGTGTATTCGAACAATACGTGTCCGTATACTCATTCTATGCGTGTATAAATGTTCCCCCCCCTGAAAAGCGAAAAATGCTCTTGAAAAACGTCACCGTCTTCGCGTCCACAAAGGCATTATTTTTATCCGACGTTTATCGCATAACGAGAAGACGACCGCGCAACCTTAAAAAAAAAACCTTAAAAAAAACTGATTTACAACGACCTGAGGTAAATATGTACATGTTTTTTTTTTCATGTACTGAGGTACAATAATTATATTTTTCAGTAATGCGCGTGCGCTTGTCAATATACGTGTACCTATGTTATCTTTACTTTTTTTTTTCTTTCGATCTCCATGAATTATTAATTTGCATTTTGCCGATCGCTAGGACAATATTCACTCCCGTACAGTCTTACCTGCTCTGAATAGCAGACCGTGTTAGCAAACACAAAAAAAAAAAAAAAAAACAAAGTCACCGCATGCACTCCCGAGTATTCAAATACGTGCGACTTTATAGATGTTTTATAATCATAATACCGCTGGGGAGGCACGTTTTTTATCGTTCCTCTCTTCTATCTAACAATACCGGAACGAATACGTAATTGTTGATGAACGAATGCACTCTTCGTTTTACTGACATAATAAATTTTCGTTAATTAATATTCGTGATCAACTGTATCTTCGCGAACAGTCGTATATTGTGCGTGATATAGACACGGCACAAGTGTAGAACTAAATTTTGAATTTAATAATTCGAATAAATAATTTGAAGTTAATTAAAAATAATAATAATAATAATCCATTTTTCTATTCAATTCCTAATGATAATTGTTTATATTTCAAGAATTTATAACCTTTTTTATGTAGTCGTTCTAAGTGTATAAAAACTACTTTCAATTTCATAATTTTCCATTAATCAAGAACTAATTTCTGAAACACAATGGTAATGATAATTTTTTTGTCTTACATTGTTGAAAAGGCTATAAAGTAAAAAAAAAATCTTGAAAACATTACTATCAACATTGCAATATTGAGTTTTCTTTTTTCAGACGAAAAAGCAATTTTACAATCCATAGTTTCATAAGTCGTGATAATTTTATAACATACAATGTGATAGTAATCTTATTTGCCTTAACAAATATTTATATAATATTTTGCAACCGTAAGTTTATCGTGACTGAACAAATCGTGTCATAATAAAATTGAATGTGACCTATGATGGATTTGCTTTAGTCATGTCAAGGCAAGTTTAAAATCAAAGTCAAATTACATAAGTCACAGCATGATGGTCTTAGGGGAGATATTGAAATTTTTAATCAACGACAACCAATGTGTAATAAATTAAAGTGTATTTTAAAATAATTTACGCTTTAAAATATATTAAATTGAACATATATTTGTGATTTTGAAATTAACAAACATCACGTTGTATACTAATGTAAATTTTTTAGATGCTTCAAAGTAGAGACCGATTGAAATAACAATTTGTATTACAAAATAATAACAAATAAAACAACATTTTTGTTAAATTAAGTAAAATATAATATTTATCAATTGTAATAATAATAAACCAAATATTTATGATTTTATTTTTTTATTTTGAATACCTAATGACTCTGATGATGATTTAAAATTGAGTTAAAATGCAGGGATTTCAATGAAATGAAAAATAATCATATTATTATTACATTATCTACTAGTAAAATAATATGTCTACTGATTTATTTAAGCACAAACACTTATTCCCAATAATAGAACAGTATATAAAATTAAATATTATACAATTCACTGTATCGCTTTCAAAATATTTATAATTATTTATGTGCCAACAAAAATTATTTCATTTTTCAACTTGTTCAAATATGTACAAGAACTATATTTGTACAATTCGTACGTACAAGTAAAACGTGTAATGATGTTGAAACGAAAACATATGTAAGTATGTAGTGGAAAATAGACAGTTTGTTTATATCATCAATGATATAATCGAGGGTTTTCTAAAACATAGTTTTTGCTGCCAACATTCCTTCAGTAAAGTTTGGGTGATTTGGTAGTGAAGTATGGTAACAATGTTATAAGAGTGCATCTGTTTCATGTATAATCAAAATTGTTGGATAGGTTTGGATAGTTTGGTTTGTAACATAATAAAAGAGTTTTGAAAATTTGTCAAAGTATTCAAATATTCACATCTCAAGTGTTTCACTAAGAAATTGAGAAATCGTATGTATACATCTTGTGTTTAAATTATTACAAGTCACAAAATAAGATGAACGTTTGTTATTTACCTGATTAAAAGTAAAATATTACAAAACTAAAACCATTAAGCTTGAAGAAAAACAAATCACAAGTTTTTGGGAATTGGTTATGCAATAATGTCTAAAATTTAAAATAAATGCATTTTTCTTTAAATTGAAAATAAAGTACAAAAAAAAAAACGAGAATGAATATTGTCTTTCAATTAAATATTGTCATCGTACAGCAGTCATAATAACTCAATAGAAACTTAATCTGAATGGAAGTAGTAAAATTATCAACTTAAAATAGATAATTTGTTTGTACCTATGGTCAGCTTTCATAATATAAGTTATAAGTACAAGGTTATAAAATTATTTTGTTAAAAAAAAATACATAATGTTTTATATGAAATAAATTTTTTTATACATTTTGAGTTGAACATCCGGTATAAGATATATAAAATATTGACTTAAGTCAAAAAACAAAAAAAAAGTACAGTTTATCTTTAGATTGATATAATATAAAATCTATATTTTGTAATTGATTTAATTTTAACATTTTAACATAAAATCATATTATTCCCAAAAAAAAAAAAAGTATAATTAATCCGTTATACATAAAAACGAAACTATTCAAATAACATTTCCACAAGCAACTTGTGTATACTTTGTGAGCTGTATATATTTACAAACTAAAAATAATAACGTTAAAATCAAAATTTTGCAAATTGAAAACAGATGTATTCCAATATTTAGTTTTCTACGCTTAATGTTAATATAAAATCGTCAAACTCATTAAAGCAGTAAAAATTGATTAAGAATAATAAATCATGTTTTATTACAGTAACAAACTGTGTACTTAATAATATTTACTATTCTGATGTACTATTATGTACTTCATTTACATTGAAACATATGTTAAACACGCATTTTAACTACATACAATTATTCATAGAAATTTCTGTTTACAGTTTAAAACATGCGATTTATTCTGAAAATTAAAAAGTCATCTAAAATATTGTGTCTGTTTTGGTTCTTCCTTGCATTTTCAAAATGTCAAGATGATGTACAAAAAAGCAATGGTGTACAAGAAACCGACGGTGTTCAAGAAAACGATGGTGTAAAAAATAATGATGTGCAAAAAAAATTTGATGATGGTGATGTAGATAACGGTCAAGATAAAGAGATGATCTCAGATGATCTTGATGAAAATGAAAATCCATTGGGTGGAATATCAACAGATTTATTTGAAGAAGGCCCTAAGTCTGGAACAAAATCTTCTAACAAACCAATTATAGATGAAAAAGATGATGAAGAAAAGACATTGAATAACAGTCAAGATGATAATACAATTCCTCCGGGAGATAATCAAAAAACTATAGTCGATGACAATATGGATAAGAAGAAAGAGAATAGTCCAATCACTTACAAAAATTACTCAAGCTATGATGAATATCTAAAAGAAAAAGAGCAAAGAAAAGGTAAGATTAGAATATTGAGCGAACTATTGAAAAAAAAAAAATACTTTAAATTTGAATGTAATAAAAAAATATTATATTCAAAAAACTATTTTAGGTATATTTTGATCTATTATAATTTACATGAACTATATGTGTTCATAGAGTGTTATTCGA